TTGATTGAAAATTAATTAATAGCATGCTAAAAATGAATAAAGGTGGTGATTTTAGTAAAGAAAGATGCAACTAAGTATTAGTTGCTTAATATGAAATATAAAGCTTATTATACTCTAAATAAAATATTAAATAAGCTTTGAAAATTTATGCATTAAAAATTTCCATTTTATATTAAGTGAAAATCATTTGAAAACTTTTGAATACCTTCTGTAGTAAATAGTATATCAAGATATTGAATATTAGGATTAAGTCTAGATGTTTAAGATATTGAAATTAATATATGATATATATAGCAGAAAATTAATCAGGACTTTATTTTTCTAAAATCCATACTATTTATAAGTTTTTAAATTTATAATTGTATATTTTTATTTTATTATTTATATCTATTTTTATTGTATTATTATTATATTATATATTGTAATAAAAATAAAGAATTCTAAATAAGATTATGATATTATTGATAAAAAAAAAATCTAAAATATAATTATTTCAATTATATTTATTAACTTTTAAATATAATAATACAATTTGCAATAAATATCACGTGATTTAACTCCCGCTGATGAATAAATACGCGTGAAAATAAAATCTTTTTTATACAAGATGGCTTTGATACATTCCAAATTTGACTTTTTGAATAAACCTTGGTGGAGACCAGATTATGACGACCGCGTTCCTCAGTATTTCATCTTAAATACCAATCGTCTCCAACAAACCATATTATTATCTATTAATAACGAGGATGAACTTCTTTGGAAGGGTTTCATGGACCTTCATCGCGAACGTTATTTAATCGAATGCATTTCAGCGGAAGGCGATATAGACATCGATGTTATAAAACAGCTGTTAAAGAAATCATGGTTTAAAATTTTTCTGAAATACGTTTGCAGAATAGTTTTTCCAAGAATAATTTTTAGACCTATTTTACGCTTGACTAGTTATATTTGCAGAATAACGTTTGGCAACAAAATCCATAAAATAATTTTTGGCCCTTCTCGTTCTTCACACCTAGCTAAAAAAGTCCAAAATCTTTATGATACCATTAACGGCATTTTCCCGTCCACCTTCTTTCCTAACCTTCCAATAGATCGTTTTACGCCATTGCTCACAAAGCAGTTGCATCAACAAATTGGCAACGGGATGATTGACAATGCGGGTCGGTACAGA